GGTGAAGAGAGAGAAGAAGCAAGAAGGGGGAAGAGGAGGAGGAGCCTGACCCATCTTGCCGAGATACAAGGAGCCCATAGCCCAAGCAGCCAGGCAGCTGATCCTCTTGTCCTGGAAGAGATGCTCCGCTAGCCATGCTCCCACCGCACTGCACGGAGATCAGGACCCCCCTCCTCCTCCTCCTCCTCTTCGTTCTCCTCCTCCTCTCTGTCCCTCCTTCTCTTCATCCTCGCCATTTCCTGTCCATCCCTCGCTCCCTCCCCTAGTCTCCCTCCGCTCTTCGTTGAGCGCACCTGGAGAAGAGCACGAGAAAGGAAGGATAGATCCCCTTGAACTGGCAGTGGAGCTGAAGCTCGAGGACGGTAACGCCAACAGCATGGAGGATGAGGAGGAGGCCGTTGAGCAGCTGGTTCTTGCTGACAGCGACGAAGCCGGGGATGAGGAGAGATACCACGATGACGACGATGAGAACCTGGAGGAGAAGAGCGAGCATGAGCAGGAGGACAAGGAAAACTTCAGGATATCGGGCGAGGAAAGGACGGTAGGAGGAGGAGCGGGAAAGACACGAATAGGAAGGGGGAGAGGGAAAGGGGAAAGGAAACGGCAAGAGCAAAGCCGAACGGAAAGGGGGGAAGGAGTGATGAAAATTTACGGGAAGGTGGGAAGGGAAGGAGGAGCATGTACGGGGTTCACGGGAACAGGAGGCGAGGACAGGGAAGGCCAACGAGCAGGCAGGAGGGAGCAGGAAGCCAGGGAGGAGCGAGGCATCTCACCATGCAAACATGCTTGAGGGACATGGGCAGCGGGTGGAATTCGAAGTCGAGGAAGAAGAAAGTTTTCACGACGAACATGGAGATTATGATCCCGCTTGCCACCACAAAGGAGAGATAATCCTGCAGACTGAAACATCCCCACCATCAGCTTCCTTCCTCTCCCTCCCTCCCTCCCTCCCTCCCCTTCTCTCTGGTTCCACCGCCCCGTCTGCTCCTGCTCCTGCTCCTGCTCCTGCTCCTGCTCCTGCTCCTGCTCCTGCTCCTCAGGTCCTTTCTTTTCACTTACTGTCTCTTGTAGTAGAACCGAACCCAGAAGAATCCTCCCAGCGCTGCCACCGGCATGGCAAACCTGCAAAGGAGATAAGTCCTTGTAGCCACTCCTGTTCCACCCATCCTCCTGTCGCCGCTCTCTCCCTTCGCTCCTGCTCCGCTTCTTCCTCTATTCCCTCCTGCTCCTGCTCCTGCTCCTGCTCCTGCTCCTGCTCCTGCTCCTGCTCCTGCTCCTCTCTCTTCAACGCTTTCCTTTATCATCCTCATCATTCTCGCCGTCTTCGTCCTCATCGTCTCCTCTGACTCACCATGGCATTCCCAGCGCCAAGCAGCCGCTCACAGCAACTCCGACCGCCATGATCGAGAGGAGGATCATGGCTCCTGCTGACTCCAAGTACCCAGCAAAGTGCGCGAGAACCTGGAAGGTTAAGGATGAGAGTAGAAGAAGAACCGTGTGAATGTAAGAAACAGGAGCTGGAGGCAGCACACAAAAGAAGGAAGACGGGAAGAAGGAGGGGAGCGGAGAAGGGAAGATTACGATGAAGGCGAAGAGGTAGACGGCAACGGTGACAGCAATGAAGTTCCAGGGAGGAGCGAGTTTGATGTACTGGTTGAGAGAGTGAAAGATCACCCTTATCTGAGAAACAAGAACATCAGATCTGAGCAAGGCATATTGAATGAACTTGCCTCAACACTCCCGACAACAATCAGAAAGATGACAGATTGAATAACCCTCCTTGTCCAGCTTATCTGTAAGAGATACATTCATCCCCATTGCCTCCTACTCCCCTCCCCATTGTCCTCCTCCTCCTCCTCATCCTTTCCCCACCATCTCCCAAAACTCTCCCTTTATGTCCCATTTTGCCAACCTGGTTGTTCGACATCCCACACCACCACATCGATCCCTGCGGTGAGTTGCTGACAACGACTCCGAGGGGAATGGAGACGAGGAGCAGGATATCTTGAAGACACGATCTTCAGTGACAACTTACAAGCATCCACGTCAGCAGACCGGCAACGTCATCTCTCGATGCGATCAGGTGCGCGTGATGGATCGCGATCTTGAACATCACAGGCAGGAGGAGCTGAGGGTTGAACGTGAGAGGGGAAGCAGAGAGGTCGTCAACCACTGACGTATGCGAGCGTCTGAACTGCCGTCTCGTATCGTCCCAGCACCGTCTCGTCGAGATCCGTCATGGATGGGGTGATCGTTTTCGGCCTGTCAGGAAGAGACTGGGTAAGAGGACGAGGCGAGCATGAAGGATGGCACAAGGGGAGGGAGAGGGGAGGAGGAAGAGAGGAGGAGGGGAGGAGGGGAAAATGAAGAGAGGGTGAATATGCATTTCAATCTGTGTTACCTGTCCTTTCTTGGCATTCTGAACGAAGATCTCACCGGAAGCACCTATATAAGGATATCACGCATGAGACTTTCACATCCTCTCTCCACGTACAAACAGAAAGTAAGCAGCGGTCATAACTGCTAGCAACACGTATGGAGCAGCGGACATCCTGAAGAACAAGATCGAGTCAGCGGGGACACGATCGACGCATGCTCGGTGACGTTAAAAGCTCAAGATTCCCAGCAGCAGCACAAGACAGGCAGCAAGCTCTCACCCGTTCACTCCTATGATAGCCCATGTAATGATCACTGTCGGAGAGCAAGGAGTGATACAAAACAACATCCTGTAATGAAGATCAGAATAGCCATGCTGTCGAGTCGACTGTCACCTCTCGAACACGAGCACAAGTCGCGGCTGCTGCCTCTGCATGAACGAGAATTGCAAACTTGCCCAGATGCCTTTGAGAAATGTCAAGAAGAGAACAGGGTGAGATAGGAAAACCAAGGGATCCGGAAGCAATGAGCATGTTATATATGAGGGTGATGTTGAATGTGGTAACCTAACGAGGGTCTCAGTCAGACTGCCTACAAACAAACCCTCGAGTTGAGCACCAAGAACAAGTGGATCGACGATATGAATAATGTGACAGCCTGCATTGCTATCAGATTTCGTGACAAACGTGATGGATTTACCATTGCAGCGATCGTAACCCAAACAGCTATGAATGTTGGTTCTTGATACCCCAGAAAATCAAGCATGTAGCAAATGATAGATCCCCCAATGACCGTTGCCAGCGTACTAGTATAAGAGTATCATCAGCTCGAGATCCTACCAAGACAGCGGGAAGAAGCAAGATTAAGCCGCGCAAAGGGGAGATGAGAAGCAGCATGGAGTGAGTACGGTACTCACGTTTTCCCTCCGTAAAGCAGGAGGATCGCGAGGGTAGGAACGAGAAACACAGCTGTGCGCATGTTGTATTCGAATTGGTTGAACTTGAAGAGGACTGCATCCTTCGGAATGTCCGTCGGAGGCTCGTACCTGTCATGGAATGCCGGTCAAGCTTTCAAGTTTCGTCTCATGAAGAAACTCTCTTCCAACGGATTCAGAGTTCAACGTAACGATCTCTTGGCATCGGTGTGATGCCTTCTACTATCTGTCTCCTCGAATCACTTCTCAACTCGTTTCTCATGCACCTCAAACAACTCTGATTATCCCCTGTCCCTCCTTCTCCCCCTTTCCGATGCTTCATTGACTTCCCCTCACGCTCCTCCTTCCTTGTTCGTCTTCCCCCTCCATGCTCCTCCTCTTCCTCTCCCTTCCCCGCCTCACCGCATTACCTGCTGCTCTCTTCCTCCTTGATTCTCCGCCGTGCTGCCATTACGTCACCCCGGAGTAACGGTTGGCAACGGTCAGATTTCCTGCAATCTCAAGTTCGTGGCCTAGCAGTAGCTGGGACAC